CAGCAGAGCTCATTAACATTTAAAGGAAAATGCTACAAAAACGGCTTGATCTGGAAAGAGCTGTTTTTGACAGGGTAAAAAAGGTGTTTTTTTCACTACCATTGAGAAATTTTAACCAAACTATGTTACAGACTTTTCATTAAGACCCCAAAAAATCATATAAACTTGTGGAAAATGGGCATCCTATGACCCCTTTAAACCTTTTGTATGGTTGCTTCAGCTGCATGAATTAGTGCACTCAGTGCTGGGTTGCGTCAAGGGCATCCAGCGTAAAAACTGTGGCAAATGGCTGTACAGATAATTCAGGAGCAGCTGAGGGGGAGAGAGAGAGAGTATTCATTTAGGAACTGAATTTCCATTTGAATTTTCTTCTGCTAAATAAATTGACTTCCATTGTATTTTTTTTCCATACTATGGAAGTCAATGGGGACTGACAACTATTTAACAAGTATAGTTGTGTGTTTTTAAGTGCAAAAAGACTAGTCAAATGCTATAAGACCTGTTTTCAGTAATTTTTTGAAGACTGCAGGGCTCGCAAAAATCGCTAGCCTGACGTACTGGGGCTATTGTGTCTTCCAGTCGGGCTACCAAAATGTATCATTTTATAAGACTTTTTGCTTTTATAAAAACCTGTATCTGAACTGTAAATCATGTCATTTTATGGTTTAATATGTTACCATAAACATTGCCCAACCTCACTCATACGATATTAGATTTATTTGTGCAGGTCTTAAAAAGGGTAAAAAAAAACGTTAAAATTCTGCAGATACCCTGTAAACTTTGAAGCTCAATATCTCAAAACTACTCGGAATGCAGATAGAACCTAATAATTCCAAGGGGACGATTTGTGTTTTGAAAAATGTTTTTGACTTATATCCAATTTCTATATATACATATATAAAAAGGTCTTTTTTTATGTGGGCTAGTTACATTTATTTCGGCCTATCAAAATCTGAAGAGTTCCTGCCCGAAGGGCTACCAGGGCAGAGTTGTGGACTCGAGTCACATGACTCGAGACTTGACTTGTCTTGGACTCGAGTCTCAAATTTGAGAACTTGCGACTTGACTTGACATAATCAAAGAAGACTTGCGACTCGACTTAGACTTTGACAACAATGACTCGAGACTTGACTTGAGCCCTGTGACTTGTAAAGTCTTTATGGCCTACCTTCTAAAAACAAAAAAACAGAGTTGTGATAGGCTGGTTACTGAAGCGTATGATCACACTGCGTGGCTTTTGGCACTGAGCCAGAGTGGGGCTCGCCCAGTGAGCGCTTGTCAGTGTTTTCAACCACATCATGTTTTAGGCTATTTAATGTTTCAGACATTTAAAATAGCCTACACATCATAACTATAAACCATTTATAATAGTAATAATAATATAGTCGTAATAACAATAATATTATACACCGATGTATATGGAAACGGCAGTAACAAACCTTTCAAATATAATTAGATTTTTTTTTTCGCGTCAAATGCTCATTGTAGCCTACCTATAAAGTTCACTCTATTTTTCTTCCTGTTTACCAGCCACTCACTTTCATATCTTTCAGAATGAATTCAAATATTGTAAATCTGACAGGCTACTACATGGTAGCACACATAGCCCCTAAACTAAGCCATCAACTGTGATCATTATGAATTTGTTTGAGCCACAAAATACATTGACTTATATTTGAGAATCTGAATTTGGCATGAATAATTTTGCATGCCTCATTTGAACGGTAACTCGTCAACTCTACATATTTACTAGGGTGACCATACGTCCTCTTTTTCCAGGACATGTCCTCTTTTTGAAAATGTGTCCGGCCGGGATTTCTGAATCGCCCAAAATGTCTGGGATTCGGCTTTTGCTTTCTACAGTCGTAATCGTGTGCGTTTTTGCTTTAGAGCCCTGCGAGGACTAATCCCGCTCCCGCTGAATTTCTGACCATTATCGCCCACTCCCGTAATTTGTGTCCAGTGCTCCCGCAAACATTCTAATATTGCATATAATTTTCGCAGGGAGCCGCCGTCAACATGCGGAGAATTTAAATCTCTTTTGAATGAGCGCTCGCTGTTCGCTTTTACTTTCACTGTTCAATCACGCGCGCTCTGTGTAAAGGAAGATCAGATATTTGTCAATGAGC